GTATCAGAAAGCATCCACCTCCTTCCCAAAGATAAACTTATGCAGGATGTTCAAAGATCTGTGTCTGGCCGGCCTAGGGCAGGCCTGAATAATTAGTGGGGTATTGCTGAGATACTGCAATATTGATATTTTTTTTTTAAGTTATTTTAATCAAAAATTGCATTTCTTAATAAACTTAGTTCAACTTTGCAGTTAAAACAAAACAAAACAACTATACCCAAATAATATTTTGCCAATCTGTCCATCCACACACAGTGAGGTCAATGGTGGGGTATGGCTAGTATCTGATAAACAAAAATGTTAATGGTCAGTGGCAAATTGCAAGCTGACTTTTTTTTTTAACTAGCAAAATAGCTTTGGGGTTTAAAAGTGCTACTCAGAATCTTCCATTCCCTTTGAACCAAGTTAACATTCCAAAGCTGTAACTAAATGAACACACACAGATAGCATGATCTAAATCACTAGACAGAATTGTGTGAGGATATAATTTCTAAGCAGGAAGATAACATTCATTTCATTTAAAAGGAAAATGTCATGCTCTGAGAACTTTGCACATTCTGTCACTGAGCGAGGACAAACCAGCTGAAACTTAACTCAGGCAAAATGGATTTCCTGCTGGTGAGTGGGATGTCCCAACAACAGTTGGGTTCCACAGCCTTTTTTGTGTGGGGCTGCACTCTCTCTGAAATATCAGGTTCATAGTTTGAGGTGCTCCTTGATCATATGCTCTTGCTAGATGTGCAGGCAGCACTGTTGGTGAGAGGTGCCATTTCTTCAGTTTCGGCTGGCCCATCAAGTACAATTCTGCCTGACAAAATTGGACTTTGCCTCAGTCATTCACAACCTATTGACTGCCATATTAGATCACTGCCACACGCACTCTCTGGGGCTGTTTTTGAGAAGCCACTGGAAACTGCTTCTAGCAGCAAATGCTGTAGCTGAGATGTTTTTCATTCTATCATTGCACAAATTTTGTATGTTCTGCCTGTTATGAGTTTGTGAGTGCCAGACTCCCCATAATTCCTGGGTCCAGTTGGTGTTAGAATTTAATCAAGGCTTGAGGAGTTATGGTAAACTGGATGCCAGACTCTTAATCTCTGGACCCAGTTCCCCGTGTTCCGACAATGGCCTGGGAGATGGGCCATTAAGAGAACAAAGGAAAGGTAATGGGCTATTAAGAAAGCAAAGGCTCTGTGTCGGATGGCAAATGGGTGGGGGTCAGAGTCAGAGTTAGTTAGATTACAAAGCTAGAGTTTGAATTAGAGTTGATAGTTGGCTGTGATGTGACCTAGCGACTGGTGAGGGCAGCAAGCTAAAAAGCCAGAGAAGCAGAGCATGATGTTTGATGCCTGAGCCATTGTAGGTTCAGGTTGTATATATGTTTAAATAAACAATATATCCTAAAGACACCACAGTCTCCATTGTGCCTCATTTCCAAAAGAAAACAGAGACTCGGAATCCCTGAAATCTCCTACCACTCGAAGGTTTAGCCCTGAAGCAATGCAAATAATAATAATAATCATCATCATCATCCCTTATGCAGGGTAGATTTGTGCAATATTGTGTATATAAAGACTCTTAAGTCACGTGTACTGAACGTGTGCAGCTTTTGGAGCTAATGCTATACAAAATACTCAAGACTAGCAAAAGAACAAAAGGAGAAAACCCACCCACACTAAATAATTCTGAATATCAAGTGATAACTGTAATCATGACACAGTGGATGTAATGTGTAAGTTGATCCTAAGGAGGAGGATTTTGCTCCAGCTGAAATAATTTGGGTCTTTTAAAACAAAAAAACAACACAGTTTGATCTGTTTCATGAATTGTTTTCTCTGCCAATAAATCTGCACACCAAGAGAGCTTTTTCATTTTTTTTTTTTTTTTTTTTAATAAATTTTTATTAATTTTCCAAACATAAGATAAGAAAGCAAACAATGCACAAAACACCGACATACAAACATATAAACATGTATAATTTCATAGCCATTTTTCATAAACCTTACTTTCCGGACTTCCCCATACCTCCCCTTTTCTGCATCCTTGTTTTATATTTCTTCAGCAACTCCTCAATCAACTAATTATTCAATTCAATTTCTTTTAAGTTCTTCTAATATTATTAATTACAGCTGCAGTTCTCTGTTTCCCAACCCCTTGACATTTTAACATTCCTGAATTTTACAACAAGTTCTAAGATAAACTTTAAATTTCTTCCAATCTTCTTCCACTGTCTCTTTCCCCTGGTCACGGATTCTGCCAGTCAATTCGGCCAGTCCCATATAGTCGATCACCTTCGTCTGCCATTCTTCCAGTGTGGGTAGTTGTTGTGTCTTCCAATACTTTGCTAGAAGAATCCTTGCTGCTGTTGTCGCATACATAAAAACGTCCTGTCCTTCCTTCTCACCAATTGGCCGACAATGCCCAAGAGAAAAGCCTCTGGTTTTTAGGGAAGGTCCATTTAAGAACCTTCTTAATTTCATTATAGATCATTTCCCACAAAAGCTTTTATCCTCGGGCAGGTCCACCAAAGGTGATAAAAAGTACCTTCAGTCTCATTACATTTCCAACATTTGTTATTGGGCAGATGATAAATTTTTGCAAGCTTGACTGGGGTCATGTACCACCTATACATCATTTTCATAATGTTTTCTCTTAAGGCATTACATGCCGTAAATTTAATACCGGTGGTCCACAACTGTTCCCAGTCAGCAAACATAATGTTATGACCGATATCTTGTGCCCATTTTATCATAGCTGATTTCACCGTTTCATCCTGTGTATTCCATTTCAACAGCAGATTATACATTCTCGACAGATTCTTAGTATTGGGTTCTAACAGTTCTGTTTCCAATTTTGACCTCTCCATCTGGAAACCTATTTTCCTGTCCTGTTTAAATGTCTCGTTTATCTGAAGGTAGTGCAACCAATCTCGCACTTTGGACTTTAATTTCTCATAGCTCTGTAATTTAACTTTTTCCCCATCTTGTTCTAGAATTTCACAATATTTTGGCCATTTAGACTCCATATTAAGTTTTTTCACCTCTTTAGCTTCCATTGGTGACAACCACCTGGGAGTTTTACTTTCCAATAGATCTTTATACCGCATCCAAACATTGTATAATGCTTTCCTAACAATATGGTTTTTGAAACCTTTATGCTGTTTTACCTTATCATACCATATATATGCATGCCAACCAAATCTATTATCAAACCCTTCTAGATCCAAAATATCTGTATTCTCAAGAAGTAGCCACTGTTTCAACCAGCAGAAAGCCGCCGATTCATAGTAGAGTCTTAAGTCCGGCAGGGCAAACCCCCCTCTATCTTTAGCATCAGTTAGATTCTTAAATTTTATTCTGGGCTTTTGCCCTGCCAGACAAATTTAGATATATCTTTCTGCCACTTCTTGAAACAGTCCATCTTGTCCAAAATCTGCAATGTCTGAAATAAAAACAACATTCTAGGCAATACATTCATCTTGATAACAGCAATTCGGCCTAACAAAGAAAGTTTCAACCTTGACCATATTTCTAGATCCTTCTTTACCTCTGTCCAACATTTATCATAATTGTCCTTAAATAAATTCACATTCTTAGATGTTAAGTTTACCCCCAGGTACTTTACTTTTTCGTTATCACTAGTCCTGTTTCATTCTGAAACTTCTCTTTTCGGCCAATGTTAAATTTTTATCCAACACTTTCGTTTTCTGTTTGTTCAGTTTAAATCCTGCTACTTGACCAAATATCTCAATTAGTTCTAATACTCTTTTAGTACTAGTATCTGGCTGTTGCAAGGTCAATACTAGGTCATCTGCAAATGCCCTTAACTTGTACTGTTTGGCTCCGACTTGTACTCCTTTAACCAACTGGTCTCCTCTAATCATATTTAACAAAACCTCCAGGACTAATATAAACAATAGAGGGGATATTGGGCACCCCTGTCGTGTACCTTTTTCTATAGGTATTTCTTCCGTTACCACATTGTTTACAATTAACTTTGCTTTTTGTTTAGAGTATATTGCACCTATACCATTTTCAAACCCTTGACCTACCCCCATCCCTTGGAGATTCTTCTTCATAAAACTCCAACCAATATTGTCAAAGGCTTTCTCCGCGTCCACAAAAATTAAAACAGCCTTCCTATTAATGTCCACTTCTAACAGTTCCAAAATGTCTATAATGTTCCTCACATTGTCCGACATATATCTCCCTGGAAGAAAGCCAGTTTGGTCTTTATGAATCTCCCCTACCAACACTCTCTTCAGTCTTTTTGCCATAATGTCCGCAAAAATTTTGTAATCCACATTAAGTAATGATATAGGGCGGTAGTTTTTAACCTGGTTCTTTTCAGTCTCAGTTTTCGGTATAAGTGAGATAAAAGCTTCTTTCCACGACTCTGGTGCCTTTTTCCCCTCCAAAATTTCGTTACATACTTCCTTCAGTGGTTGTACTAACCATTCCTTCAACACTTTATAGTATCTGGCGGTCAAACCATCTGGTCCTGGAGCTTTTCCCAATTGCATCTTCTGAATGGCACCCTCTATTTCTTGTCCTGTTATTTTCTCATTCAAAATCCTTCTGCTTTGCTCTGAAATTTTTGGTAATCCATGTTTCTTAACAAATTCTTCTATTTCCTGTTCATTAACTGGCCCTTGTGCATATAATTTCCTGAAATAACCTTGAAAACAATTACTTATCTCATTTGGTTTGTGGATAATCTTTCCGTCCACTTCTAAACTTGTCACAGTGTTCAATTTTTGCCTCTTTTTCAATTGCCATGACAGAAATTTCCCACATTTATCTGCTGATTCAAATGTCTTTTGTCTCATTTGCTTTATTTTCCATTCTATCTCTTGATTCATCAATTCCATATATTGCACCTGATAGTACTTTATTTCTTTCAGAATCTCATGAGACTTTGGTTTAGACCTCAATTTCTTTTCACCTTCTTTTATTTTTTCCAGAATTTTTCCTTTCCTTTCATTTTGATTTTTCCTTTTTATGGAGTTCTGTTGTATTAGGAAACCTCGCATCACGGCCTTACTTGCGTCCCAACTTATTCTTTTTTCCACTTCTGTTCTCAAATTTATCTCAAAATAATCTTTCACTGTTTTTGGGCCTTCTTATAAATCTCTTCATCTCTGAATAGGGTGTCATTCATTCTCCATCTGAAGGATCCAGTTGTTGTAAGTTTCATCTCCATCTTTACAGCATTATGGTCGGAGCAAGTCTTTGAGCAGATTTCTACCTTTTTAATCCTTGGCGCCATACTGCTAGTTACCCAAATTTGGTCAATTCTTGTCCATGTCATTTTTGCTTCAGAGAAAAAGTTCCCTCTCTCTCAAGAGGGTTCCTTGTTCTCCAAATGTCAATCAAGTCCATAGTTTCAGTCATTTCAAAAAAAGTCTTTGGTAGTCTCCCTTCCTTGGAAATTACTTGTCTCTGTGCTTTGTCCATATTTGTGGAAACTACGCCATTCATGTCTCCCATCATTATAATTCTGTAGTCTAAATAGTCCATTAAAGTCTCATGCAACTTCTTAAAGAATTCCGCCTTCCCATCATTTGGTGCATAGATTCCAACTATCAAAATTTTTTCTCCTTGAACTTGTATTTCAATTGCCAGGTATCTTCCTTGTTCATCTTTAAATATCATCTTTGGAGCCAATTTTTCTTTTGCATAGATCACCACGCCTCTTTTCTTAACTTTATCTGATGAAATAAATTCTTGTCCAAGTCTCTTATTTACCAATAATTTCCGATGTGTCCTGGTCACATGAGTCTCTTGTAGGCATATTAGATCTAATTGTTCTCTTTTCAAAATATGAAAAACTTGGCGTCTTTTTCGGGGAAGGTTCAAACCATTACAGTTCCAGCTAAGAAGTTGCAGAGACATTTTGTTATTAAGTACCTGTTCCTCCGACTGCTCCTAGCTTTTGTTCCTCTTCAGATGATGGTATGAGTCCAAATGACAAGTTTGCAATGTCTGTCACTCCTTTTTCTTGTATTGTTGTTTCTACTGTTCCTTTCTGCAAGTCCTCCTGATATCTCTCCAGAAACTGTTCTTTATCTTGAACTGTTCTTATTTTAACCTTCCTTCCTTTGAAAGTAAAAGACAATCCTTGTGGAAACTCCCACCTGAAGGGTATGATATTTTTCTTCAGCAGGTAGACCAAATCTTTATAGAAGGCTCTCACCTCCAAAATATATTTAGGGATATCTTTAAAAATTTGTACTTGACTATTTTCAATCTCCAATGCCTTTTGATAATGCAAATTCAATATCTTATCTCTTTCTCCTTTGGATCTCAATGTGATCAAACAATCCCTTGGCTTCTTACCCTGCCTCCTGCCGAGCCGGAAAGCTGTTGTTATTTCAAGTTCTTCTTCCTGCAGCTCCTCTTGCCAGAATTCCATAAAGTTCTGTGTAAGAAAATCCACAAGGCTGTCTCCCTCACTCTCGGGAACCAATCTCAGTTTCAAATTTCTCTCTTTTCTCTGTAGTTCCAACAAAGATAGAGCTGCATCATGTTCATTCACTTTTTTTGTAATCGGCACAAGCTCCTGCCTTGTCTCCTCCGCAGTATTTTTGCACTTTCAGCAATCTTTCGTGTTTCAGAACTTTCTTGAATTAGTTTATTAATAGATTCTGTATTAGATGTTACACTTGCAGTATTCAAGTCCAATCTTGCTGTCAGTTCTGTCAATTTTTTGAATTTTCCGTAGATAGCTTTGTCAGTGCTTCTAAAGATTGGTTTATTTTGAGCAGTGCCTGTGTCATTGAATCCATAGATGCTGTTGCCACTTTTTCCTGTGCAGCTGGTGGTATGCCGGGTATTGAGCCCCTTTTCTTTTGTGTCTGTTTTGCTTTGGATCTAGTTGTTATCTCTTCTGCTGGGCCACTCATATCCTCAAGGTCGTTCTCACAGGAAAAACTTGCAAGTGGAAAATCCCACTGTTTCTTTTTCACTGTAACAGTTTCTCTTTATACCCTCTAGGGGAGCATTTAATTGTATCCAAGTGAAAAGAGAAAAAACAAGGAAGCACAGAGCAATCAACAAAAAAAGTCCAAGAGTCCACAGTAAAAGTTTCTGTCGCACTTTTTTCAGTAAATCACAAGTTCAACAAAGTAATTCCATTAAAGTCCCGTAACTTTGTCTCAGACAAGACCCCAACTTTGTATCCAGTCTAAACTGACAGTTCACTTTGCCGGTGCCTTACTCAGGCAGTCCGTCCTGGGGGTTTGGCAATGGAAGATGTTTTTTTTCCTCATTTAATTTCAAGCAGGTTAACAGTGTCCAATTTTCTTCCCCCTCTCCTGCTTACTGGGGGGGAGGTTTAAGTCAAATGTCAGGTTTGACAGCTTAAAGGTAATTTTCTTTCAAATGCAGCTTTACTCTTTCGTTGCTTTACTTGCCATGCAGATCGGGAGGCAGACTTCCTTAATTTATGCCTTTCCCGTTTTCAGCCAAATTTCAAGATTTAAATTTAAATGTCCCTTTCAGTCCCTCCGTCTTACTCACGGGCTTTAGAGTCGAATTTCTGGTTCAGGAAGGAATCGGCGCTCTCCGCTCATGGCGACGCGGCTTCACTCCACGGGCTGGGTTGCGACTCTCAGCACCGCGCTCACCCCCGATGCCGCTCCGTAGCCTTTAAAAGGCTCTTTCACAGTACCGGGGCGCAAAGGTGCCCACCGAGTCTCCTTGTTCACAGGCTTCCGCGCCTGTGATTTTAGGGGTCCCCCGCTCGCCGTAGCAGGTCAGACCCGAACTCGCGGAGCAGTCCTCCTCCGGAGCTCGAAGGGAGGACCGCCATTAAGCGCTGGCGCCGACCGGAAGTCCGCTTTTTCAAAGTACTTTTGAGGAAAGGAAGAATGACACTTTGCCGGCACCCTGCTCTGAAAAACAACAAGGCCAAATTGCAGACATTTGGGTCTTCAGGGAAGACAGAGCATATCTGTCTATCTATCTATATCTATCTATCTATCTATCTATCTATCTATCTATCTATCTATCTATCTATCTATCTATCTCCCAGAATGTCTTTCTTGGGAGTACATTTTTAGAAACAGCCACACTTCAACTAATTTGGATTGTGGATAAAAATTCCCCTGGTGACTCCAATCCAAAATGTGCTTTACTTATGAGCCACTAACATCCCACTTCTGTGCAAGCTGCATATGAGATTGCCTTTCCAAGATTAGAAAGAAACAGAAGGGTGCATTAATTCCCTCCCCCTTGCACAATTTAGTGAGAAGTGCGGGTTCTAGTCCACATTAGTGATACTCAGTACCAGATCAGGGCACAGTAGACAATGCCTTCATCTCCTGCCAGCTTTCTCTTGGAAGGCAAAAGCGTTGAAGGCAACAGCTATTTGGGGCATTGATCTAAGATGGGTGCAGGGCTGATAAAGCAATACATGATGTGGTAGAAAACCTTACCATACGTACATTGGTAGATATGTAACAAGAACGGTTGAGCAAACTACTTTTGCTCAAAATAAAAAACCCACATTATCAGCCATTTTGATCTGCTGAAATTTATTGATACTTAACAGGGGATGCCATTCCAGGTTTTGTTGTGGGTTGGAAAAAGGTTTCAGTGGAGAGTAAATTCACAGCATGGTCCAAAGGACTGCTCTTGGATATATTAGGAAATGACCAAAAAGGAGAAAGTATAATTGAAGAGCATTTGTTGTGGTTACTTATGGATCCCATACTAGTCAAGAGTTTTGGGTACTCCTGAGGAACGACCCCAAGTGAACAAATGAATAGAGATGTCTGATCCCTTTTGTAACAAGCGTCCTTAAAAGCCAATGGGATATCTAAGAAGGATGGGAGGGATTGTTTCTGTCTATGTGTACTACGGAAGGAAAACACAGGTAATGGAGCACTCTGAGCTTTTCAGGAATTGTGATTTGGCCACTGTTGAAGACAGCTGAAACCAAGGCCCAGCGAAGGTTGGAAAGATCTCCCACCAATAATTGCACTTGATGTATTGTCAAATTTCAACTTGTCCCTTGCAGGTACAGACACATAATGGAATACTCATTTAAAACAAATATTTGGGGGCCTCCTTCTTCCCTTCCCCAGCAACTATTAAACATTGCCATCTTTCATGTGAAGCACTTGAGAATTATGGCTTGTTTACACACTACACCAACTATATGGAAACTGCTGGGAAATGATCCCATAGTAGTGGCTCACCATATAAAGCCTTGACACATGTGTCTCCCAAAGTGCCAAGTTTCTTTCTGCCTCCACCAGGAATGTGCAAAGAATTAGGAAGATATCTGAGGACAGGTATAGACAGTTCAATCCTAGCTGAGCTGAGCTGAGCTCAAGTTCTGTTTCATCAGATTGTGTGTTTTATCCTGAAACATCCAAGCATTTCAGCATCTTCATGACAACCCAAGGCCACTGAAAGCTAATTTCCTCTGCTTTGTTGTCCTTTTCTTTGAGTAGATTTAATAGCAGAACAAAGTTAAATAGGAGTCTTGAAGCATTTGGCTCTAGTGACCTTAAGTAGCTCATGTGATACATGGAGAAACATGAAACCAAATTTGACAGTGTACATACAGCACTTCTGGGCAACAAGGGAGAATGGTTCTATGTGCAGAGGCTGTTGACACAGGTCACCATACTTCTATTCTCTTCCACGTTACCCAAGGAGGGGCCAGAGAATGGTCCAAAGGCACATATAACAGTTGCACTACTGAAAGCTAAATGAAATAAGTCTGCTGGTTTCATAAGCTGTCTGGATGAGAGATTGCCTGGGAACCCTAAGCAAGGTGCTCCGAGCTCTTTGGGGGAAGAGCTGGGTGTAATAAATGAGTTGAGATTCACGTCCATTCCATTCATTGTTATCTCTACACTATTCTGCCAATGGAGATTTATGATGTGGCCCTTATTCTGTAGTCCTTTTTTTTGCGGGTGGTTGTGTGGGTGTTAATAGAGGGCCAATTCACAAAGAAAATTGGCATGACATAAATGTAGGTCAAACTGATCCATGTGATCCTCAGTAATTGTGTGTCCATAGATGTAATTGCTCTGTGTACATGCAGGTAGATTTTACACATTTAGAAAAGGGGTTAATGCAAGCTAGATGAAGGGATGGTTGAGCAAATGGCTAATTAATTACTATGAATTATGGTCAAGTCCAAAAGCTTATTTTTAACCACGCCACCACCTTCTCTCTAGAATTGCTAATTGAGACATTTAGAACCCACACTCTTCATCACTTGCAACAAGCCTAGACCATCTATTTGCATCCTTTATCAGTCTCTGATGTATGGGCTGATAAATGGAAACCAATGGGTCAAAACGGCATGACCCTTTGGGCTAAAGATAAAGATCTTTCACATATATATATTTGTGTAAATGAAGGCAAAAGGAGAATTCTTTTTTTATGGACTTTGAGACTAATTTTAACACAAACACCTTTTATACAGGGGAGGTATATGCAAAAAAATGCTAGGAAATAAATAAATGAAAGAACTGCCTCAGCTCAGTTGGCTCAAAGGAAAGAAATTTGTCTCACTTTTAGCAAAAAGCACCTGCAGCTACCGGTCACATCGAGTCATTCATTGTACTGTTATCTGCCAGAGAGGTTGTGACATTGGAGCAATTAAGACAAACTTTAGTCTATAAGTTCATGCCTGCAATCTCTATCCTTCACCTGAAGATTGATGATCCCTCCAAGGAAGGAAGCAAAGTATTTTCCAGTCTACCTCTGAAGTAATGGTTAGGATTTGTAATTGTTCAGCAGAAACTCCTCAGTACAAGGGACTGGTGTACTCCCAAGCTTTTTTTTATGATCCTCTTCAGGTTTTTAAGTGACAGTGCATCAGAAATAGTCACCTCAGTGTAAACACTTTTGTTGGCTATCATACAGTCTTCCAAGTCACTGGACTTTTGAGAAATCTCCCGAAGAATTTCCAAAAAACAACACAACCTTGATAAATAAACAAATTATAAGACTTTAAAAATACATTTTAAATTAAAACACTGGTCTACTAAAACAGCCTCAAAATTAGAAAATGAATCTGGGCAACAAAAGTGGAAAAGTCGGCCCAAGACATTTTGGCAATTGAGAAGAACCATAAAATGGTGGGCACCTCCCCCCACACCCTGGGCCAGTGAAGATCTACATCAGGAGCAATGGGGTAACAAAGTTCTACATCAGGAACAAAGGTGGGGGGAGTGAAGATCTACCTTGGGAACAAGGGAGGGAATCAAATCAACCTTCCCTGATGGTTGAAATGGGAATCAAAGGCCATCATGGAAAAGGGACCCGCTCTGAATCATGCTGGTGAGTGCAGAGTCTAGGAGACACCAGAGGGAAGCTCCCATTTCCTCCCTAGGGGTGGGAGGAGACCAGCAATGCCTGCTGTTCACAAAGAAGCCACTGAGGCAGTTGGGGGGGGGGCCCGCTGGTGACGAGGTGGTAGATCTACCTTCCAATGAGCGTGCCACAGGCGACATTGCCACTGCAGCTACATTCCTTAGAGGTATGATCTGCTGCCCTTATGGATCCTGCCGCCCAAGGCATTTGTCTCACCTTGCCTCTTGGGTGAATGAATTCATATATCCACATACACCAGGATGGACAATGTGGGAATGGAGACCTTCGGTTGTGTTCCTACTGGTAAAGCCAAGTAAATCCCAACCTCCATTATATTATCCCACTAAAAGAGGACACATTGCACAATGTCCTCATTTTCCTGTATTGAGAGCTGCTCTTGGGGTTGCTTTGATGAACAGCACACACTTCTCTAATGAGTACAAATTTAGCACACATCCTGTGACTGATACCGGTTATTCTTCCAACATAATTATTTCCCCTGCCTGGTCCATTTCAACTCATTTTTGGTGTTAAAAATAAAAAGACTAAAGGAGATATGATTGAGTCCACA